GGCTATTTGGGAGAGACCTAGCTGAGGCCCCCAGTGAGATTCTTTAATCTGTGTTTGGTCCCAGCAGCTAGTATTTTCCTGGCATTTTAGACACTGCAAAAGCAAGCTTATAAATCCCAGAAAATACTGTTCTACATCAGGGGTTCCGTGCCCAGCACGTTCGTCTCAGGCGGAGGACCGTGTGTCCGTGTCAGAACGCTGAGCTGGTGACCGCAGCACGAGTGACTCCTTGATGAGAACCCTGAGGCTACGGGGCCTGGGGCTGAAAACTTGCTTACCTGGAAACCCCAGGGCTGTATATCAAGCCTTGAATTTTATCCCTGTTCCAGCACTTGATCCCTAGGGCACAGGGGTCCTTCTGAGCCACCGGCATTTCTCATGGGTGGTGGTCACCAAAAGCAACAGCCATCCGCCTGCCTGGGGCGTCTCCAGCCCACACGTGCACACACACTGTGCACGGATTACACACACGTGAATACATGTGCACACGCACACGGTGTCTCTAATTCAGGTGGGGGCCACTTCTAACAACTGCACCCAAACCCGTATCCCAGCGTGTGAAAAAAGAAATTTAACTTGAATAGTAACCAGGGTGCATAGAGGCGTATCCTAGTAGGAGAACTGGGCAGATTGATGGGAGAATTACAGGTTTGAGACAAGCCCGCGTTACTCGTGAGGAGCCTTTATTGTGAAAGACCACCAATGTTCTGGAAGTCTCTGCAGGACCTGTGAGCCGTCTCATCGGGCTCCCCCAGACTCTTTGGAGCAGCTCGGCATTCTGGGAGGCGTAGGGTGGTGCGGACACGCACACGGTCCCTGAGGTCAGACCCGTTAGCCCTCACGATCCTAGATCCCACTGCGTGCTGGCAGTTCCCCACCCCCAGGGCAGGTGGCCCCGGCCTCAGTTTCCCCAGCTGTTGCACAGCAAAAGTACACGGACAGGGCTGCGGGATGCGGCGGAGCTCTACAGACGTAAAGGAGGACACACTCTGGACCATTTCCATAGGGGAGCCGCCGGGACGGAGCCCAGAGGGGCTCCGGGCGCTCTTGTGGGGTGTTGTTGAAGGGTGTGCTGTCCCGAGCCAGCACTCGGCACTGTCCTCGCCCACCCAGCCTGGTGACCACCCTGTGACCAGGCAGTCCCACGACCCGGGTCTCCAACACAGGTCCCATGCGGGCAGCGGGCTGGGTGCGATGCCAGCCGCCCCGGGGCCTGTTCAGCTCCTCACGAGACCGTGGCCTCATCGGGGGGGCGGGGGCTGGGCACCTCAAGGATCCCACATCCACCTCCCAGCTCAGGCTGGGGACCAAAGGCCCAAGTACACCTGTAGGGTCGGGACACACAGGCCTGAGGGCAGAGTCCAGATCAGCGTAGCAAAATGGACCCAGAAACAGAAATTGGGGTCCCTTCTCTCCACCCCCCACTGCGGTGTTTGCTGTAGGAAACTCTGTGCTGTTTTTGAGGCCTCCCAGGGAGGGGGGTGACAGGCTTTATGGGAACCTCCCTTCCATCGTCCCCTCTGCCAACGTCCTCACGTTCCGTCGCGTCCTGTTCCTGGGGTGACTGAGGCGGTCACTTGTGGGTGGTGTGGGGTCCCTTGAGAACTTGGGCTCCCCTGGCATCGTCCACCCTCCCATCCCCGGGGGGCCCGCAGACCCACTGGCTGTGGGCGACACTGACCCTTGGGCAGCCCCGGGGTCACGTCCAGGGACACCTCGGAGTCATTTTCAGGAAGTTCCATGCTGATGCTTGCTGACGGGTCACGTTCCCAGCACTGCAGAGCCAGGCCCAGGCGCCGCTGACCCGGGGCTCGTGTCACGGGCTCTGCAGGGAGTGTTCTCTGGGGTGACTGGGGCTGCACCCCCCCCCCCCCCCCCCCCCCCCCC